GGGGGGGGTGGTCAAAGAGCCAGCCACAGAGTTCATGTCAGAGACAGTCCCTGTTGCCCTTATTAGGGCCCTCAATTGGATACTGAGCTGCCATGGGCTACATCTGTGCAGGAGTTCTAGGTTATATCCATGAATGGTCCTTGGTTGGAGTATCAATCTCAGAAAAGACCCCTGTGCCCAGATATTTTGTTTCTGTTTCTCTCCTCATGGAGCACCTGTCTTCTCCAGGTCCCATTAACTCCTCCCTCTTTCCTCAGATTCCCTGCACTCTGCCCAAAGTTTGGTTATGAGTCTCAGCATCTGTTTTGATACAATGCTGGGTAGAGTCTTTCAGAGGCCCTCTGTGGTAGGCTCCTGTCCTGTTTCCTGTTTTCTCCTTCTTCTAATGTCCATTCCATTTGTCTTTCTGAGTGAGGGATGATCATCTTACCCAGGAACCTCCTTCTGGCTTAGCTTCTTTAGGTGTACAGATTTTATTATGCTTATACTATATTATATGTCTAGTGTCCATTTATAAGTGAGTATATGCCGTGTGTGTCTTTCTGCTTTTGGGGTACCTCACTCAGGATGACCTTTTCTAGATCCCACCATTTGCCTGCAGTTTTCATGATTTCCTTGTTTTTAACTGCTGAGTAGTATTGCATTGTGCAAAAGTACCACGATTTCTGTATCCATTCCTTCGTTGAGGGACATCTGGGTTTTTTTTTTCCAGGTTCTGGTTCTTACGAATAAAACTGGTACAAATATGGTTGAACAAATGTCTTTTTTGTATACTTGAACATATTTTGGATATATGCCTAGGAGCGGTATAGCTGGATCTTGAGGAAGTGCTTTTCCTAATTGTCTGAGAAAGTGCCAGATTGATTTCCAAAGTGGGTGTAAAAAAAGTTTTATTTATTATCTATACAATGTGTGTTTGCATGTGCACCTGCACACCAGAAGAGGGCACCAGATTTCTTTTCAGATGGTTACCAGGAACTGAACACATGACCTCTAGGAAGAGCAGCCAGTGCTGTTAACCTCCAAGCCATCTTTCCAGCCCTCAACAAGCTGACTTCAATACCCCTCAACCCAAAGTCCCACCTACTCTTTAATCCCTGCAAACTGGTTTCTTGTTCTGCCTCTTGACCTAGGGTTAACTTTGTTAGATCCTGTAAACAGAGTGCTCTATGATAAAAGGTGTGTGCTAGGGCTAGGTGAACCATATCATAATCACCTGTTTACCATAAACAGAAATTTCCTGAATTAAAGCTGTGTGTTAAGGCTCAACCAAACCAAACAATAAAAAGGTTTATACAGCTCATAATGGGATAAAATATCCTGCAACAAAATGCATGGATGGAATTATGATGTATAATATTAAGTGAGGCCACACAATCTGATGATATCATGGATTTCTTTTTGTTTTGATAATAGATAAGTGATTTAACATATATTTGGCAGTGAAAGTAAAAAATCCAATGTGAAGCTCTACAGATTCTGTTCTGAATGCTACTCTAGCTGTATAGAAGTTCATTGAGTTGTATAGTCTTTTGGTCTGGTTATTTTCAGTATATAACTTGTAACCTTTTTAAAATATATATATATATATATATATATATATATATATATATTTTTTTTTTTTTTTTTTTTTTTTTGAGACAGGGCTTCTTTGTGAAGCCTTGGTTTTCCTAGACTCAATCTGTAGACCATGCTGGACACAAACTCAAAGACATCCACCTGCTCTGCCTCCTGAGTTCTGGAGTTACAGGTGTGCACCACCACACCTAACACTTGTAACTTTTTCTAACTAATATATTTCAAATAAAAAAATATAAAGTAAGGCAATCCAATAGGGCCCTTTGATCACCTTGTTGGGAGAGCATCCCTCAGAAAAGCTGATTCACCTGTAGACCCTATATTAAAAGGCATAGCTTTCTTGCTTCCTTTTTTCCATCCCCTTTCTGCCACCAGGTATCAAGCTTTGTAGCTTCCTTGCCCTGTTGTCATTTAAACTTTAATAAATAAAATGATCTTTAAACTTCTTTCTAGGTCCATTTAAAGGTTATTTTGTTAAAGATTCTGAGAACTCACAAAAGGAAACCACTATTTTCTGCTGACATATTGACTTCTGAATATTTATGATATGAAATATTCACCATCCTTCAGATTTCTTTCTATAGACTAATTGTATGGAACAAACCTAGATGTTCAGTACGGGATGATTAAATAACCTGACCTGATTGGGAGAAGCAGAGGAAATTTCAAGCTAAGCAAATTGTAAAAGATTTATTAGTTTTATTTATGTGTATGTATATCTGTGTATGCCATAAGAGTGCAAGTGCCCACAGAGGCCAGAGGAGGAGGATGGACCTTTGGAAGCTGGATTTGTGAGCCACCTGTTTTGTGTGCTGGGATCTGATTACAGGTCCTGGGGAAGACGAACAAATCGTCTTAACCACTGAGCCGCCTCTCCAGTCCTTCAAGCTAAAATTTTTGTTTGTTTTTTGAGACAGGATTTTTCTGTGCATCCCTGGCTCTTCTGGAACTCGCTTGGTAGACCAGGCTGGCCTCAAAGTCACAGGGATCCATTTGCTTTGGCCTACCAAGTGCTGGGATTAAAGGCGTGGTGCCACCACTGATAGGTGCTGAATTTTTGAAGCTCAGTTTCTTCCTCTGTAAAATGGAGTTGGTAACTGTACCTACTTCATGAGGTTGTTGGGATGCCAGCCTGTTCTACAGAGTGAGTTCCAGGACAGCCAGAGCTGTCCAGAGAAACGTTGTCACAAACAAAACAAAACAAAACAAACAAACAAACAAACAAAAAGAGAGATTGGATGAAAAGATGAAAATGACTGAGATATATTGTGATCAGGCTTGGGTAAGAGAAGCAGAAGGCCAGGACCTGGGAGTCAGAGGGGTAGCAGGTGGGGTGAGCAGTGCTGGGAGGAGCCACAGGTATTACTGAGTGAGACTTACCCTGGGTTAGAGACCTGACAGAGACAACATGCATAAATTGTCTGTCTCAGCATTCTGAACTTCTAAATTCACTGTCTCCTCCATCGACAGGTACTAATTTGACAATATTAATTTTTTTCCTGCTTCTGGATAAAGGTCACATTTCTTTCATAAATCTGTGGCTATTAAATTCAGTCTGTTAGAGGCACACTGGTCCCTCATTAATGTTGGAGTGGGAAACAAGATTTAGCATCTCATAGCTATCTTCTTTACTTTTTTAAAGTTAAGTCCTGAACAGGGTGGCTTTGGGACATTGTTTTTGAGCAACAATCTGAGAGTAAAGGAACAAGGCTGTAGAGTATAAGCTACAACTGGGACTTTAGTCACACCATCAGACAGCCTACTTTATTCAGGAAACTTTTAAAGCTAAATCCAGCAATGCCGGGCATTATCCAGGAGCTGAAGGTCCAGCAAAGGCCAGGCTCAGCCTCTCGCGCTAAAAACAAAAGGAAGCACTGACTATGTAGGGAACTATTTCTCCATGGGGCAAAAGGGGTTAAACGTGAGAAAGCGCTTCCAAGCAACCGCGCAGGCGCTCAATCTTACCGTCCTTGAACTTCCGGCGGAAGTTCCGCCTCGATTTCTGCCTGCTCCAATCTGAGCTGCGTGATTGGGTTGCGTGCGCTCTTCGTAGCCTCACCCGGAAGCTTATGTCTCAAGCGAGGAGCGCGAAGGTGCGACTATGAAGTAAGGATTTAGTTTTCTGAGGAAGAAGGGAGAGTGGACTGCGGATGGCCACCCACAAGGGCGGTGACCGGTTCTAGCCTGGGTGGTCGGGCCTTCGAAGCATCGGGGCGGGAGAGGATCCCTATCTAGAACTCAGGTTGTGAGGAAACGTACTTAACGTCTTCCCCTTCTTCCGCGCAGCCCTTTAACTAAGGTGAAGCTGATCAACGAACTGAATGAGCGAGAGGTTCAACTTGGGGTGGCAGAAAAGGTGTCTTGGCACTCGGAATACAAGGACAGCGCCTGGATCTTTCTTGGTGAGGTCCACGTTTTTCTCTAGCAGTTCCTTTCAGAGGCCACCCCTATCCCACCCCCCACCCCCGCACACTCTGTTCTCCCGGTATTTAGCGCCCCTGGTCATCACTTTTGAACACGCTCATCACCCCACACTCTTGTAGCTAGTCTGCCCACAGCTCCATTTTCATTTGCCTTCTGTGATCGCCAGTGCCTCTTAGAATTTGTATTTACCATTCATTGTGGGAACAATCTTGCCATCTGGCTGTTTGAAGACTGTTAACTCCATAATCAACCCATTAGGACGCCAAAGAAACTGAGGTGCAGACAGGTCAGTAGACATTCTTAAGGTCACATGCTGTAGCCCTCAAAACCATGGGGCTCTTGCTCTTAGTCATGTCTCCTAACTTCCCTTCCTCAAAATTTTCTCATATACTGTATTGTTAGGTACCTGGACAAACATTGGCTGGGCTCCTCACTCAAAAATCTGCCTTACTCCTGCTTAATGTTTTTTTCCCCGAGACAGATTTCACTGTGTAACAGCCTTGGCTGTCCTGGAAGTCTCTGTACAGCAGGCTGGCCTTGAAATCACAGAGTCTCTGCCCTCCTTCCCAAGTGCTGGCATCAAAGGCATGCGCCACCACGGACTGGTTCTCCTGCTTAAAAATTTAAAATGCCATCTGAAAAGGTGGAGTTATCTGGGCTTTGTTGTTTGTTAAGGGAAACCTACTTCCCCTGGTGAAAAGAATACAGTGTGTGTTACGCCCATTGCCCTAGGTGGTTACCGGGCATTTTAAGCAAACCTAAGTATTACACAGTAGTGTGCCCTTAAGACTTAAAACCAGCAGGGCTTTAAAATCATCTATCTTGCCAGGAGGCACCGGTCAGGAAAGCTCATTCACCTGAACGCATGCTAAGGACACGGGAGGAACGTGATCCCCTTAGTGAAATAATGTCCTTATGCACCCCAGTTCTAACTCATTCCCCCACACACCCTTTTTATCCTTTCTCTGAGTACTGTTTGAAATCCTGAGCATGCTTGCCTTAACACTGTGGACTTTCTTATTTCAAATCTAAGGGCTCTCCTCTCCCCTTGCATCTGCTTCTCAGCCTCCATTTCTGAGCAATGCCCTGACCCAGTAGGCATGGCTATATATTTCTGCATCTTATTCAGCTCCTTCCTCCCAGTAGCTGGGAGAATTTATAACTTGATTTCACTTCCTCTCTCTCTCAAATGCTAATAAAATGGACCTCAATCTTCCTCCTTAGCCTGTTCTAATTTTTTTTATCAATGAGACTAAGAATCTACAATGGGGAACTCTTAAGACTCTGGTAGCAATATTATCCTGTATTCCCTTTATGTCACAACCAGTGTTTCTGCAGTTTGATTTAGAAAGAGACTACTCCACTGAGGTGTTGTATTGGTATAGGAATAGGCATTGTATTGTAGGTATTATATGCATAGTTTTTGTTTTGTCTCTGAACATTCCTGTGAGGTATATATGCTAATGTCACATTTTTCCACAAGAGAAAAAACATGGAGGGGAAATTATTTCCTGCGAAATGCTTAACAGTTTCTTATAATTCTTAGTTTACATGTAGGTGCAAGTAATGATAGAATTTTTGAACTCAGTGTTTGTGAAATCTGAGTTTAGTGCAGGAACTTATCGGCTTTATAGGATGTTGGATGTGAGGACTGAATGATAAGATCAGTTTGGTAAGTGGTGACCCCAGCCTTTCCAATCAGTTAATTACTTTGTTGTTTTGAGACAGACAGAGTTTCAGTCTGGAATTCACTGTGCATACCAGGCTGGACTTCAAGTCGCAGAGAGCTGAGAGTTAATTATTTTTCTTCTGAACTACTGTCCACTTACCCACTTTGTCATTGATTACGCTTGTTTTTGTGAGCTCTAGCTTATTTAATCTGGATTTCCCTTGTCTAGCCTAGTGCATAGTGTGCACTAGCCACTTGATTACTGTTTGTTGATCTGGAGCATGCTTTGTCTTCTTCTAGGAGGGCTTCCGTATGAATTGACAGAAGGAGACATCATCTGTGTCTTCTCACAGTAAGTCCTCTGTCATTTCCCACCTCCTGGCTGCATAGAGCAGTTTGCTTTCATACTGTAGTTTTGTAACATCATCAAGGCATTTCAAACTGGGTGTGGGCTGTGCACCTGTAACGCCAGTAGCTAAGAGGCTGAGGGAGGAGAATCGCTTGAGGCCAACCTAGGCTATATAATGCATTCCAGGTCAGCCTGCACTACAGAGTGAGACCCTGTCGAAAAGGCTACCAAAGCCGTTTTTCATTGTAGGCTGAATGACATCCCTGCATGGCAAGGGCTAGAGCCTGATTAGTCCCAGGATACCTAAGGATCCAGAGCATTACCACATGGGGGATCCTAGAGCTTGGATCATTTGAGAAGCTGTCTGAGGGATTTTAGTCCATTGCTTCCAAATGTGTACTAAGCCTTTGTTCAGCATGGGCTTGCTTGCATTGGAAGAGACTGAACTCCCAGGTAGGTGCAATGTTGCCCTGTCTCTTGGGTCCTGAAAACTGGGTGTCATCTATGATCCTGTGCCTGCTGTGTGGCATTGTAGGATTAGAACAAGCGCTGGAAAATTAGGCCAAACAGACATGGGATTAGCCTGTTTGATCAGCATTGCTGAATTGCTTGCTGAAGTGGTTTTACTAATTTCCACTTTCACTGGAATGCCTATTTATCCATTTTTTTTCTTTCAAGACTGGGTTTCATTGTGTAGCCCTGGCTGTCCAAATTCTCAGAGATCTGCTTGCCTCTGTCTCCCAAGTGCTGGGATTAAAGGCATGTGCTGCCGCTACCGCCCAGCTCAAATCGTGATCAATGTTATCTTACTTTGTAGTACGGGGTTAAATGTGTTTTTGTTGGGATTGTATTAAATTTTCTTATTAACATGCTGGGAGATTTTTGACATCTTTCTGGTAGTGAGTCATACTATGTAAGAAAAAGACTATTTTTTAACACTTTCATTTATGTCTTTTGGAGATTAAGAAAGTTATTCATGTAGGCTGTGTGTAGTGCTTGGTTATGAGGCATATTTTAAGTACTTTATCTTTTTGGTTGGTATTATAAAGGTAATTTCCATCCCATCATATCTTCTGATTATTGTTTGTAAATGAAGAGTGACTTTTAACTCTATTCTTAACTTCTACTGAATTGTTATACTCTTTCTTTTTTTTCATTGTTATTTCTGCTGTTTAATTTTCTCTATAACTATTGTCTTTAATCTGCAAATAGAGATACTTTTACTTTTCCATTTCTTGTATCTGTTTTATGTCATTGCATTAGCTATACCTCAACTGTATTGTCAAATATTTCCCAACCTTAGTTGAATCACAGTCACTACTTTGCATTGAGTACGATTTTAGTGTTTGAATTTGCATATATCTATATATAGCCAGATATCTATATAAATATAATCATATAACTTATATAAATATAAATATATATATTTATATATATATAATCATGTAAATTATGCATCAAATCCAGGTTTATTTTTATGACTATTTAAATTTATAAAGATTTATTTGGAATTGGTTTCATATGAAGTAAGGTAGACTATTTTGTCTTCAGTTAATTTATGCTTTGATTTTTCTTAAAGTCTGTGTTTATTGGGTTTGTTTTATTTTATATTCTTTCTTTTTAAATTTTGTAAGGTTATAGAGTTTCTTGAGTATAGCTGGCTAAGTTACATCCTACAAATTCTTATGTATTTAAAAATTTTGTTAGTATCTGAGAGGTATACCCTTGAAATTTTAAATTTTGTTTCATTTTTCTTTTATTGAACTATTTACTAAGAGAATAGGTCTTAAGTTCTAGTTAGCAGGCTTTTGTATTAGCAGTTTTTTAAAATATATTTTTTTAATTTTTTTATTAATTATTTTTTACAATTTATTAACTTTGTATCCTAGCTGTGGCCTTCTCCCTTATCTCCTCCCATTCCCTTCCTCCCTCCATTCTCCTCCTATGCCCCTCTCCTAGTCCACTGATAGTGGAGGTCCTCCTCCCCTTCTATCTGACCCTAGCCTATCAAGTCTAATCAGGAATGGCTGCATTGTCTTCCTCTGTGGCCTGGCAAAGCTGCATCCCCCAGGGGGAGGTGATCAGAGAGTCTGCCACTGAGTTTGTGACAGAAAAAGCCCCCGGTCCCCTTACTAGGAAATCCACTTGGAGACTGAGTCTACGGGTTCATCTGTTGCAAGGGTTCTAGGTTAACTCCATGCATGGTCTTTGGTGGGCACAGTGCATGGAATGTTATGAAAGAAGGGGGAGATAGAATGACCTAGAGAATATAGGAGCTCCAAAAGGAGACCAACAGAGCCAAAAATAAAAACAAAAAAGCCCTTCATCCTTGGTATTTAAAAAAAAATATGTGTATTGGTGTTTTGCTTGCATGTATGCCTGTACCATGCAAGTGCCTGGGTACAAAATAGAACAAGGCACTGGATTACCTGGAACTGGAATTACTGATGGTTGTGCGCCTCCATGTAGGTGCTGAAATTGAACCTGGGTCCTCGGGAAGAGCAGCCAATGGTCTTAACCATTGAATCATCTCTCTAGTTCCAGTAGCAAGCTTTTGTTTAAAATATCATTCCTAGTTTTATCACACTGATTGTTGAGTATATGCTGTAGATTTTAGAGTTCATTTTTAACTAATTTAACTTTTTATTTTCAGCCTACTATGTCATCTTTTTCAGTGTCTCCTGTACAGACTCTATTACTTGAATTTTCTTTGATCATTCAGTATGAAAGTTGTTACATTTTAAGTGAATAATGCATTTTTAAAATAAACAGATATGGGGAGATTGTCAACATTAATCTTGTGAGAAACACTAAGACTGGGAAATCCAAAGGATTCTGTTTCCTGTGCTATGAAGATCAGAGGAGCACAGTTCTGGCTGTTGACAATTTCAATGGGATTAAGGTAAATGTGCTTACTGTGCAGGATTTGCCTGGAGTTTTCCTGTCTCTGTGTTAGGCTTCTTCTTTTTTGCCCTGCTGTTTACAGCTACAGGAAGAGCACTTAGTGTTCAGCTGGATATATTGTGGGTGTTGTAGAAGTGCTTAGGCACACTGGATAGGGAATGATTCCAGGAAACTCTTTTTGGCTCATGCCCCAGGCTGGAAGTCCTCCTTTTTCCTATGTGTTATCGAACTGTTGTTCGAGAAACATGGGTAGCGTGCTCCCTTATTCTGGGGGATGTTTTTGTTACGCATCTTTTCCATCTGTTCTAGTACATTGGAGAATGAAGGGACTGAAACACTGCTCCTGGGCTCCATCAGAACCATATATATCTGGTATATGTATTTTTCTGGTATATGATTCCAGTGACTTAATATATTGGCTCCTAGAAATTCTCTAGTTAAAAATCCGGTGACCAATTCTATAAAAATAAGCCATTCTGAAATTTTAAGTGAGTGGCACTCAGAAAAATTCATCATCAAAGGAAAATTGCTTTTTCAAAAAAAAGTATCAAAATGAGAAATAGAATAAATTTTACTGAAGCTTCTGAAGCTTAAAGGTACAAGTAAAAATGTACTCTTGTAAAAGAATAGTAAAATTAAAGGTTTCAGATATTACCTGTTCAATAAGTGTATCTGCTTGAATCTTAATGTGAAGTAGTGAAACTTAAGTTCTCAGATTTTACCTGTACAATAAGTGCATCTGCTTGCTAATAAAGGAGATACTTTTATAAAGCAGAAGATTAATTTTACTGTGTTCACCTGGAAAACTATAGCTTATAGTCCAGTAGTCAGTGGGAACTGAAAGTTCCCCTATGGTAGGAGTAGAAAAGGGTATGAGAGCTCAAGAAAAAGAAGTAGGGCTAGGAATATAGCTCAGTGATAAGAGTGCGTCCCTGTCACAATTGAGACCCTGAGTTCAATACCACCATCATAACAACAAAAGAGTTTCATTCCTTGGTCTTATTTTGCCTCCTGATTACTTTGTTGAAAAGTTGCTGTGGCAGTATATTTCATATTTCTAGTCCTTATGCTTTTCTAGGGCATGCTTTTTTCTTGTGAAATGCTGTGTATAACTACTTTGTATGTATGTGCACATATTCATGTGTGTGCATGTATAGGTGGAGCCCAGAGAACAGCCTCAGGTGAGGCATCATTCCTTAGGATCTGTCTACCTTCTC